AACACGTTTGACCTTTGCACAAAAAAAGGATGTTTGTGTTAAACTCTCTAGTAAGCCCAAACCTTCTCAGGGAGAGCTTGCCGAAGAGTATGGGGTTAAACAAATACAATTTCTGATATCTGGAAAAATGAGGAGAGTGGTTGGCTGTCAACTCAGAGTCAATTAAGAGTTCAATAGAATGAATAGTCGTAGATCATTATTTCCGCAAGTAGAAGCCGCGTTAGTTACGTGGGTTATACAAGCTCTTTCTGATAATCTAACTTTGACAGGAGATATTTACAGCTCAAGGCCCGAACACTTCGCACAGTTGTTAGAAATTGAAGATTTCACTGCATCAAACGGTTGGCTATGTGGATTTAAACGAAGATTTCAAATAAGTCAATATATAAAGCACGGTGAAGGTCGAAGTGCCCCTTTACATACTCTTGAAGATGAACGTATACGGTTACGTGAGATAATAAGAGAATATGATTTAAATGACGTTTTTAATAGTGATGAGACTGGCATGACTTATAAATATCAATACGCGATTATTATCGATATTAACAAGATTACTAATTAACTATTTGCAAAGCTTTGTATTGGTAGCTTGAACCCTCCAAGACACTGGCAATGAGTATAGCAAAAAACCCAAGAACCGTGTAACAATTTTGCTTACATGTAATGCTACCGGAACAGAAAAGTTGCGACCACTTTTCATCCATCACTACAAAAATCCACGAAGCCTTACTACAAAAAAGAAGGAAGATCTTCCTGTGGACTATTATTGGAATCATACTGCGTGGATGCAGCATTCTATCTGGGATGATTTTCTCAAGAAGTTAAATAGACAAATGTCTCAACAATCACAAAGGATTCTTCTTCTTGTTGACAACGCAACTACTCATGTTAATGCACAGCTGTCTCATGTGAAAGTCCATTACACTTGCAGCCGTGAGATGCCGGCATTATAAATTCATTCAAGGTAACGTTATGAAGTTCAAGCCTGCGTCCTTGAATTATGTATTTTACGATAAGCTTAATCTATTCTGTAGGCTCAATATAGAAGGCGTTTGTCGAAAACCGGATTGAGGCCTACGAGAACTTAAAAAAGAAATTATATCTCTTAACATTTCAGATGCAATTGAACTTGTTGCTGATGCTTGGAAAAACGTCAGTCAATCAACGATTCAAAATTGCTGGAAAAGAACTGGGATACTTCCGAATGCTATTGAATCTTCTGAAGCGAATATAACGATATGAACGAACATGAATGCCTCCAACACCTAATTAATGAACTCGATACTAACAATCCAATGAATGCTGTAGAATTTGTTTCTTTCGATAATGACATACAGACTCGAGGAATGACGGACGAAGAAATTGTTGGTTCTGTTCAATCGTTGTCTAAAGACACAGAGAGTGACGGCGAGGAAGAGACTGTTTCCATAAAGAACGTGTTAGAAAGCTTGGATAATGTGTTCAATTTTTTCGTTCATCCACCCGCAGGTTTTAATTGCGATGCAAGTACTGTATCAACAGTACGCTCCTTACGAAAACAAGCGCTGACGCACCACGTCAATAATAAGAAACAGTCAATGCTAGACGGTTTTGTTAGTTTGTAGTATCACTGAATCTTTTTTAATAAAACCGAATATCAAACTAGATAATATCTTGTATAACGATATTTTTTATGTTATCGGAATTCCTGGTATTAACGATAACTCGCTATAACGATGAAAATGTTACCTAACGGAAGTATCGTTATATCCAGTCTTGACTGCATAAAGCATTTGTCGAGGATGTGACGTGTTGAAACGATTATTTTATTTCAAGTTTAATCACTAAGCAAAATATATATGAATAATCCAAATCGACTCTTAAACTGATACTTTTTATTCAGAATCAAGTATTGAAGGCGATAGTACTAATTCTGATTTATCTCTTCCAATCTCTACCAATGCATCAAGTGAAAATAAGCAATATAATGCAATACAATGTTGAATTCTAAGTTACGGCTACACCTATGGTTGAGAAATTACATTAAGCACAATGTTGAATTCAATTCTCCACTGACATCTTAGGTCGAGGTGCTCATTCCAATTCATTCTATAATAAACCAGACTGCTACCTCTATTCACATTCCACGGAAAATGGATAATATACGGGGCTCTAGGAGGATCGTCAAGTGGAGTTGCTGGTGTCGTAGTTATTCCTGGATTTTCGTTCTGGGGAAAAGGGTTGGTCGTGTGTGGGATAGCAATTCCGACATATTCAACATTGGTCGTGTATTCCCGAATAAAGCTAATTTTAGATAAAGCGTTGTGACGATCTGGATCTCTGTTATAGAAAACCTAAGTGGATTCGAGTTTGATAAGCAAAACTTTACTTTGTTTCTTTCAGAAAAAATTTAATATAATTACCTCTATCCATACGTTTGGTGGAGGGCACCTGTTTGTAATGGGTCTTGAACGTTGTGCAAATGTTGGGTTCCGAAACCAAATGCCAACGTCAGGTCGAAAATTATTGCCTCCCATCACACATATCACATCAATATGTACACCCCAACTTGAATTTTGCATCATAGCCGAATGTGCCAAATTGAAATGGATGTTAGACTTATTTATTCCATCACACTATATGATATCGGTAAAGATTATGATAATAAATATTAATAAACGATATACATATTGGGGTGTATAAGCTATGACGAAACTCACTTTGATAATTAAGTCTTTCCCAATTATCTCGGCGGCATATCTTTCGAGTATCGCTTCACGGATATTGACATTATCCAGATTGTAGGTAGAAAGACTGATGTTAATAACATCTTCCTTTTGCTCTGGCGTCAATGCTTCCAGTGACATGTCAATATACGTAAAGATCTATTGTATTGTGGCCATTAGTCACGCTAATTATAAACATTACTCAATACAGTCGAACCCCGTTATAACGAAATGCGTTATAACGAATTTTTGTTATACCGAAGCAATTGTTCCTCCCCCTTTTTTTCAATATTTAAATTTGATCGTTATTACGAATTTTAATAGTAAACCTCGTTATTCCGTTACCGAAGTTCGGTTGCAGGATTTTTGTATATTGTACTAGTCGCTTTATAACGAAGTTAAACACGTGATATAAGGTTTAAACATGGTGATTGGTTGTAGCAATTATACGATTTCATCAGTGCTGTACAGTGATTGGTTGTTACAATTTCACGTGAATATGAATATTCTGCATCGTTTGTAGGTTTTGTGTTAATAGTTAATCGTGTAAAACTATCATATAATGAACGGCATTTGGTAGTTTTTTTCTTCATCCGTAGCAATCATTATATTTTTTGTTCAACTAATAAACTTGTTACGAAAGTCTTAATATACCGAATATTACTTGACTTTAGGCTAGACTTCGTTACAAAGAGAGTGTTCGTTTTACCGAATTCCTCGTTATAACGAATCATAGATAACCACCCCGTGCCTTCGGTATAACGGGGTTCGACTGTACATGTTATTTAAATACCATATTAATTTGGGAGGCTTGTCGAGTCGCCCGAGACACCGTAGATGTTTCTAACCCTTCTAATTTGACGCTCATATCGAAAGATTGGAGAGTTATTGATTTGATTAATTTGATGGATTCAAGAAACAAGTGATAGAGAGAAAAATTGTATAAATCGCTTTTATACCCATATTTTTCTTATCATGGATTATTACACAGTCTTTTGGAAATTTCGAGAATGATATTGCGTGTATCTGAGTTTAAAAAATCTTAATAACTACGAGGGGGATTCAACTCTCGTTTTAGCCTATGACAACGTGATACTAACCAATAAAAGCTCTGATCATCAAACTAAACCGAATTTGGAAGTTCGTTTATTGACCATTGGCTCGTATTTCACTCGATTCTACATATTGGCAGTCAAATATGGAAAATTTTGCATTGTATCCTGCTAAAACGTACCTCCAATCATGGCAAAAGTCCACAGAAATTGTGCACAAAAAAGATGAACCTAATTTGTATATTAGAAATGCGCTTCAAATTAGGATCAAAGAAATAACGCTTCAATAAATGATACTCTTGTAGCCATTCTTCAAACGAGACTAAGTGGGGTCACTTTGTGCGTGACCCATCCAAGGCTCGGAAATTTACATCTCGGATTTTAGAACCTGTTCTAGAAAGAATGCGCTCTTTTATCGATGACAAAGTAAACAAGAATGTCCATTGCTTTCGATTAACAGGGAGTCATAAAGCTGAAGACCCTTCGCGCATTAAGCGTATATGTTCAAATCATACCCGGAGTCTCTAATCACTCTTATGGAGAAAAGTTCTACAGTATGAACTTTGGCATATGAAGACAAAAAACCGGAAATAGAAACTCAATTTCCTTTTCTTGATATCAAAATCCCAGTAACGGATTTTGTAGAAATATATTCTAAAAAAGAAATGCGCAACGTTTATAATGGATTGGTTTAGGCTATGGAGACTCGAAGCTCTGATTCTTCTTGGGATAACTTGCGTAATAAACATAGACTCGTAATTGAGAATGATCCACGAGAAAAAGCTTCTTGTGATTCGTTATTGCCAAAAGTTATTGCGTTGGAGGAGATTTTGCGAGGCATAGGTTTTTCTTCGGGCGTTCACACATCTTCTACGTTATGTCGTAAAGACTTTGATGCTAACTTATCAAGTTTCTTACCGATTTATAAGAAAAATGAGCGTCTTATTAATGCAATATTTGGTAAGAAATGAAGACCGCATGCTAATTATAATATAAAATACTTTACAGAATTTCTGAAAAAACCACTGGAGAAATCTAAAGTGGACGTTGGAGAAAAAGATTGTAAAAAACAAATTTGCGACTTCAAATAGACAGGTGTCTTAGAAAGATTCTCCCCGATATTTGTTCAAACGATAATAATACAGTTATGGGTACATGTCGCGTAAATACTACCATTGATAACGAGACATCCAAATGCTTAATTTCTTATCTTCAGAATTTCTCATTAAGCATGAATCTGATATTAATACTCTTATCCTTCTTTTACAGCAAAAATTCCAAATGTCTCGAGAAAAGTTGGAACAATGGCGAGCCAAGATTGCCTTTGAATTTTGGGATAATACTAATTACTGGAAAAAAGAACGCGAGGGTATGAATGAGGCTAATTTCTTAAAATACATGAAGCCCGTCTTGGCGTTCCCACTACTCCATGCAAGACCGAGTTAAACAAACTTTCTTTAGCATTCATCGAATATGCGTAACCTAATTTGGCATAACGTATTTCACAAATTATATAACAGATTGCTGTGTTTAATGTCTTACATCTTGGGTAAGGGAGCTTTCGTGCCTCTTATAATAAATATGAGGAAAAATTAATTAACAAATATTGATTAATGTCTGCGAAATAAGCTATTCCGTGGCTGGTAATTCCGCCAATATTACGTGTATATGCAGATGGCAAATAGGCAATACTTGAGAAACATTTCAATCGAGCCAAAAAGCTGTCACTTGCTGACCCATATATATATATATATATTTCGCGATATCTAAGAAGGCTTTCAATCGAGCCAAAAAGCTATCGCTTGCTATTCCAAATATATTTTTTCGCGATATCTAAGAAGGCTTTCAATCGGGCTAAATTGCTATCCTCAAAAAATTTTCGCACTAAGAATTTTTATATTTATCTTATTACACCATTTCTATCAAATATTACCTATCCCCTTTTTATAGCATAACGATAAAACAGAAAGCGGATATATTATTCACAATTGCAATAAGCTACGATGCAGACACGATTTTGTCATCGCATTTGCATCACCGTCAAGCGATAGTTTTTTTTTTCAAAGGAAAGTAAATGACGATGCAAACGTCAGTTGAAGGCATAAGCTGTGGCTCACCAGCATAAAGAAGAAGCTCCCGCTTCACGAAATCTAGTAAATAAAATTGAATGTATAAAATGGCGACCTATGCAAAGATAATCTTGCCATCAAAAACATGAAGATTTCTCGCACGGTGAATTCTATTCTTTGAGATAAAACTTCTCCCAATTAGTTTATGATTAATGTTTCCAGTAAAGAAGTCCTGTTCCCCAAAATACAGCTCGCAAAGTGAGAAGGCTTTGCCGGTTTTATCATTTTAATTAATTCGACTCGCGAAACGAGGAGGCTACGCTTCTGTAAATTTACTCACATTGTAATAAAACTGATCTTGAGCACGTTTCATAAACGTGCCACCTGGCCGATAAAGCCACGCGATTACTACATTCTCGATTTTCTCAGTTGCATTAATTCGTTTTTTCATAGACGGAATGTTCGCTGGATAATCGTTGCTGCTCGAATTATTTTATACAAAGCTACTTGGATCTAAATTCAGAATTATAACCTAAATATTCATTCCGCGTTAATACGGAATACAAAATTTTTCCAACCGTCCTGATAAGAAATGTCAAATCCAGGTTTTAATAAACATTTACGTATATGTTTGGGTGGACGATACTTTGCGAATCGTAACAATCGTAACCATGATTCCGGTGTTTTCAAATCTTTGATATACTTTAATCCGTATTCAGTTAATCTGCTTCGGGAGTATTTGTTTTTTGCCGTAATATCTGAACTGAATATCAATTAATTTTCCCGCATATATAGGTTGTAATTGTTTGTTAATGTAAGTGCTAAATGTTGATCTAGGAGTACCATAAAATGTCTCTGCATGAGCAGCGACCATTGCATCCAACATTAGAATAAGATGACTGGCAAGTGGAGCCTTATCCTCGATATTTTATAACAGTCTGATCTTATCCAATTCTTCTTGGAAATCATCCAAAATGAACACACGTGGAAAAATATTAAAGAACTTAAATAGAGAGGATTATTCTGAGAGGCATGTTGGCATCAGTATCAATATAACTGGTAGTATTAATGCCATTATCATCCAGCTCCTTGTGGCATTGAATTTTAGGATGAGCAATTGGAACAACACCATGATGTGTTTTAGTCAAATCTGAGAACACATCATTTGTAGCAGCCTCAAAATTTTCTGATTCTAGCAGTTTGATCATGTGCTTCAGGTATGTCCTGGTCATGAGTCCCCCAATACTTAATTCCATCTGCTTATAAGAGAGCTTTTATATTATGGATGGTCTGTCTCCAATTCTGTCAGAGACCTTGTACTTGAAAGAATGCAAAGAAAGCCATCACTCCTTCCATGCAGATAGAGGTAAACAACAAACTTGGTGTTGGCAAGTTTCTTAACACTTCCTGATTTGCCCACACCACTGAACAATTGTGCTGACTGGACACATAGTTGTCAGGTTGCCATTGCTTGCCCATATTTAATATTGTCAATCAACCCCACCAGTTGCTGGGAGGATCCCTTGTTTTTGAGTAAAACCCTTTCTCCAGTGCTTCAACCATACATACATACCTGTTTTAGTATTATAATATGGGAAAGTGCAAGAAAGAAGTAAACATCATACGAGATATCAATGCTTTGCTGCACTCCACTTGCATATGTGCATTGATTAAGCAACTGCTACTATTTCTGAGCAGCACTATTGGTAAAATACATGCACAGAACTTCCATAGAGCAAGCTGCACAATTTTTGAGTACAAGTCCATAGCTACTCTATGACCTAAATGTAGCAATGCAATGCAATTCAAGTATTGTTAATTAAAATCTAGAAGATTACAAGTCGAAAAATATAATTTTTGTCTGATATAGTCTAACCTGTTAATATTAATGTAAAAAAGCTCTTACATTGCTTCTTGTCAACTTACTCAAAAATTTATTCATAATATTAGGTTTAAATTAATATAGATCTAAAAGAAAGCCACTTTTCATCTTGGGTTTTTTACAAGTTATAATATTAGTCTTGAACTTCTGTTAAATAAAAAAATTTTAAAAAATAATGAGAACAAAATTGACATATTAAAAAAATACTTTTCGCCGGGGACTGTACTTGCTATACTTTAGTTTCCAAAACTACTTACCATTGGTTAAGTATATAGACTAACATTATTATCTTTTACATTCCAGCAACATGTGCCTTATCAGAACCTGAACTCATTATTTGATAAAAATGTATAGCAAACATTTACTACGCAAAACATAGTAATAATTGTTACTGAAAGGTGTTCAGACATTGACTCTAGATCCATAAAAAGTGCTGGGGGTCTATAATTAAAGATTTATCGATTGCTTTACATTACAAGGAAGCTGCTTTGCTTTGGTTGTCTCTTGCAACAATACCGAATGTTAGTGTTAGCTAATCTGCTGCTCACGAGAAAGACAGGACGGTAGCATGTTAGCTGTAATTGGTAATGAATGTCTCTACCGATACTGTGACCATTAGCAAGTCGTGGATCAAACACATTTCATGAAGATGTAACACACTCAGCGTGATTGTATATATTCGAATAAGTGTGAAGCTCATTACGTAATGGCGTCAGTGAGAATGGACTATTTGATTTGTATGTAAATATAGACAAAATACAATTAAGCTTTCAAAAGAGCATACGGATTACCAGTTTAGATTGCGTGAGTCACATGGTTAAAGGTACGGCGTTGGAGACACAAAAAAATCAGTTGCCCATTAAGTAATGGATAGCATGATAAATTACTGTTTCTTTGTTGTGACCTGTCTCAGTTCCGGACTGAGTTCTGAACCGAGACAACTGAAGTGTCTGAGTTCTGGATTGAGATGGTCCCGAACTGAGGTACAACATCTCATAAAAGTCTTTATAAATTCTGACGGGTTAAAAATGGAAATTGACTGACATTACCCTTCTTTCCGTTTTCGACTCGCCTGACGATTATGACTAACTTTCTATTTTGGGTATAATATAACTTTCCTTTTTTATTCGTCTTTTTAACGTTATTACATAATAATAATAGTCTTTGTGCTTTTAATATGTTGATTAAGTACTGCATAAGATTAAATTACTTGCTCGCTTTATTATATCATAATGAGAATATGCACTTGACCATAACGCATGATATACAATACAGGTCAATTTCAAAGTAGTCGAGCATGGGTCCTTCAGTTCACAAGCCTCTGCCATTCCAATGTATAATTATTTGCCTAATTATATTGACTGTATAAATAAAACTGAGACCTACTTTAAAGATGACAACTGAATATAGTTGGTCGATTACAATCGAACATGCGAATAGGCATAAAGTTATCGCGCAGTATATCTGCATTTAATTAATGACTTGAAAATATTATTCATAATGTCGATTGTCTAGCTAAGGCTAGCTTGTATGCAAAGACTGCTTAATATGAAAAACTCGTGCGCTAAGATTATTTACTGACGCGATCTTTCATTTTGCATTCTCGTATCAGCTGAACGTCTATCCCTAACGATTCTCGGCATTTCCTCACTTGGTGTTCAAACTACAGATCAGTGATACATGACGTATTGTACCTTCCGCAAACTCATCTTGACGTATTAGGATACATTAATCGAATACACGTTGATCCAACGGAGCAGGTGAGACAATGCGATCCATTGTTGAACGCTAACCCGCTTTATTTGGTTGGTCGATCCCGTTAATCATTGACAGTCTGGTCTCAAATGACTGGTCAGCAGCTTTGTTGCAAACAAGAGACAGATGACGACGCTTTAAACGGCAATACAGAAGATTATGACGAGATTATTGCAATGTCATTTCATAAATATCCTGACACGTGTATAATTGTATTTGAAACTGACACCAATAGAATGTAAGGATAAACGCGTAAATAATTATTCCGAGACGGAAACAAAATCCCAACTTATAGATCTTGTTGAATAAGTTATGGTAACGGCATTGAAATAATAATTATGATTCGTACTGTCAATCAGTTATTGTGTTTGACATTTTAATATAAAAGTCGGTTATAACAATGTATTTACACTAACTTTATCCTGTATATTTTATTTGTCCCCCACACCCTCCAAGAATAGTTATCCCCTATGTTCATATCCCATGTTACTAAATAGCTACAAGTTTCTGTTCATCTAACCAATGCTCATCTTGCATGCAGATATCTCGATCCGTGATACGCTGTCTATCTCGCGTTCACTGCTTCTCTTATAATTTTCTCTCACAACCAAACGCATATTTTATGTATCAGATAACAAGTAAAATATATCCTTTCCTAATCTCCTCCCATCATGGGAAACACACATGATTTCTCTGTTATGCTGCTTAATATTTGACTCAGCCCATTTGAACCTCTATAATTATATAATATAAACGGATAATTTAGATACTAACACTAACCAAATGCACCTTAAATATTCGGATAAACACCTATCTTAAAAATTTTCTCTAAATTCAGTGTTTAATAGATCAGACAGATTTATTTCCCCACTAAACCGGATTGACCGCTGAAAGCAATCGGTTAGGCTAAACCGGTTGCATAATAATATGGAATGGCATTGGGTAAATATGGGCCCAGTTCAAATGTGTCTGGATAAAGCGGGATTGTAAATCGACAAAACGGTCGCGTGGGAGTAGCTATTTGTTATCGTTAGTCTCGTAGCAATACGATAAATCGAGGCCGTATTGGCTTAGCTTGTTTGTACCGTATACCTGTTCCGCAGATATCCCGGTTGTATTGCCGATCGGTCACATTTACAGTGTACACGATATTATGGTATTCTCGAATAATCTTCCGATTTGACCAACATTAATATAAATGGTTACATTTATCGGTCTATTCTTAATATATCCAAGTTTCTATGCTGTTTTTAGAGTTCATATCGGAATGTAATCTTGGCGGCATATGAAGGATAAATTCAAATTCGTCCCAACAGCCATCATAACATTCGAATATGAGAATGGGTTAAATTTAAGTCAAAAATGAGATACTTTGTTAGTGTAATAATCATGCGGACTCTATACAGTAACCCTATTTGACACTGTGGGTCTCCCTGCTTACGGACTATGCGAACCATATGGTAAGGTTACGAGGTTTTGACGTAAATAAAGAGTTCACGAAGGGATTAGTTCAAATTGTACGAATGAAAAATGGTGTTACCAAAGTTGATAATGTCACGTGTGTAGATGTTGCTGCAACATTACTGAATCGACTTGCTATTTGTTATTTATTATTTGTTATTGTCTTTCACTAGTAAAGTTCTGTGATCGCTACCAAGTTCTTCCTATGTAAAAGTTCACTTTGGATACTATTGCATCCATTTGTTAATAATATCAAACCTGTTTCATGTAATTAGCGTATATTATTAATAGAACTTTTTGAAATTACCTCATATATTGCATCAATCTCGAAAAATCTTATCGATCATCGGCTCTAAGTGCACTATTAATATGTTAACTCATCCAAAAAGGAAGTGACATACCATATTTATCCATATGCTGGCTGACGGGTAAGAATAACACGAACACAGCATAGTCCTACCTGATCAGTTACAATGATATCAACAAGGGAACGGGGGTTATGTGTATGCATATACAGGACATTATTTGCCCATTCCCACTTGTTTGATGCTTATAATTTACTGCAGGATAATCTTTTACTATTTCAGTAGAGTGAGAAGACGTTGATCGAAAGAGGATCAACCCAACAAATATGCGAGATAGCGGAATGCAAAAAAAGGACAAATAGCATATAGTACTAAATGAAAATGTATATATGCGCCACATCAACTATTATGGCGAAAGCATAAGCTTTGGGTTAGTCTAATTACAAATCGAGTAGATATTAGCCAAGAACTAGTTCGCAATTACTTTTCTATTGCTTGGCTCGATAGATTATATTTGTTTACAGTAGCTTATTCATTTACAATGGTCCACATTTGCGTCTAGAAAAGTTCGTTACTTGCCCAGTATTATCAATTGTTGTTTGTCATTGTTCTTCATATTCCTTTTTCTCTCCCCCCCCTCCCCCGGATAATTGCAAATTAATTATCCTTGGGTATTACATTTTCCTCCCTGAAATGTCAACTAACTATTTGTTATTGAATATGTGGTACTGATTGGTTGTAAGCCGAATGTGTTTGCAACGTTCGAGAACGCTACGTAATTCTGTTATACTTGTAACGAGTTTTCCATCGATTATTGTTCCCTTCTGCAATCATGCAATCTGTATGCAATCTGTATGCCTCTAATAGTTTTCATAGACAATCGCCCTCACGCCTTATCAATGTAGTTTACGCACGGATGAAGCAATTATAATTAGAGCCTTTATCTGTCGTCAGTTTGGAACCGTAACGTAGGACATTGTATCTGCTTATATATTTATATTTTAGTAGACATTAAAAGAGTGGTACATTTTCAGGACTCAACCTCTGCATCAGTCAATAGTACAACAGAACGAATGAATGGTGTCTCAGTTAACCACTACGATCAACTCATTATGGTAGAAATAGCTCTATGTATGCACATGTACAGCAGAAGCATTACAATACACGAGGCCTCAGCCTCATTTGATTTACTGATAATTGAACGAGAGTCATTATAACAGCGCATTAACTAGCAAAAGGATTGTTGCAAGCAGCGTTCCGGATCCGTAACATCCATTCAAAATCGTCTTTTATGTCCCATCTACTTTTATCGCATCTCTCACCAGATTAGCAGCCAACTCTCTCATTGTAATTTCCAAAACCGTCTATTACTGATTTATCCCTTATTCAATGCATCTTGAGTAAGACAGTGTGCAAATCACATATAAAATAGTAAAATGGGCAATTTTTGTGGTACAGGTTCTTTTTCATCGGCTGAACAAGTGTTAGAGTTAACAGGTGGTATGGCGCGAGAGTGTGTGGCAATGTGAATCTTTTCTGCATACCAACAATAGTAAATATCAAACAGGCAATGATGTGTTGATATGATAAATCTAGTAATCTATTAAATGGCAGCGTACAAGTTTTCGGACTTGTTGATGGCTATATTCGTATTGTTTTAGCACACACAGTTCTCTATCTGCATCACTCGAGTCGATTCAGGTAATCGATCGATAGTTTTGACTGTCTCATGTTACGAGCCCAGAATACAATAACACATAAATTTGGGTAATGTAAATTTACACACAAGATGCATATAATTTGAAATAGTTATAATTTATACAAGGCATGCCAAGTCCGCCTAGCTGTCAACAATCAAGTCAATGAACCCAAACAAATAAAAAATCTCTCCACACGATGTCGTAATTGTCAAAACTCCGGGATTGCGATCTCACTCGATGCATTTAAAAATATCATGACTGAATATGTATATATTATTCGCCTTATTATACATATTTGTTGTTATTGTAACTCAATCTCGCTCATGGTATTTTTATCTTCGTCTATCAGATTCCACAATGAAAAACTTGTTTTTTCACAAATTCAGTAATTTGCTATTTTTGTATCGTTTACACTTGCCACACTCAAAACACAAAGAAGTATCCGCGTGACACAATAGATACTCAGATATCATCTATTTTGGGAATTGAAAGAAATTAGTCATAGTTTATTTCGGTACATCATAGAATCAAACGATTGAGGGGTTCTCGGCGGCCGTCATAAAAACAAAGAATTCAACAGACAAGCGGCGATATACTTGACGTGCTTACTCTACCAAATGATACAGACTTTCATCATTGACGACTACGAATAAGCACAATGTATAATTATCAATGTTTACCAAGAGGTTTTTTGTAATTATAAATGTATATATTACATGCCAATGTTAATTTATCTCATTTTACCAATGTTCCCGGTCAAAATCCAAAGTACTCAATCGTTGGTTCGATCACTCTTCACAGCGCCCATGTACACAAATCGAAATGGCATACATTCACGAGACAACAACAATTACACTAAACATTCATATATCACCCCCTCAAGTCACAGTCGCACAAGAAACACCTTATCGTTTCTGCGGACAATAGTTAGTAAATATAAAGCTGATCTACAATAACATTCGGCCGAACTTGGGAGTCTGTGTGATCGTTGGCTTGACGGGTAGGTATTGTTTTGGACGGAAAGAAAAAGAATTACAAGAAGAGCATTACGAGTGTGTTCAGAAAGGTGATTAGAGATTAATCCGTGATATTTGAAGCTTTGCATTAAAGTTTATCGTTCAACTGCTGTCACTTATTAACTATTTATTAATTTGTTATTTGCAATATATATGATAACGCTAAGTGACGATCATACTCAAATTAGACAGTCAATAAGAAACTTAATTCTATGCAGTTCAATTCCAAACCGTTTACGCTTTTCCGGAGAAATATGAATTCATCGGTTACATGCCTGATGAAGCAATAGTTCTCAACGAGGAAATTTGGCAAGTAACAAGCTAAGCAGATGGCAATGAACTAATATGTACGTCACAAGTGTAATCGCTATCATGAAAATAGACCGTCTGCATCTTGGTAACATTGGTATCTTGTGTTTCTAGCTAATGATGTTTATTTACACATTGTAATAGACAAGGGGGGAGGGAAAGAAAGATAATTTAATAATAGAGGACAACAATAACAATAATGTTCGATATGCTACCACAATTCTGTTTGGTGTTAAGTCGTCATATATAGAATGTGCATGTACTGTTCTTGGCTCTAACTTGCAATATGAAATCAAATACCAAGTACAAATTAGGCTATTATCACAAGAAATTACGTATTATTTCACGTTTCACTATTCACTTAACAATTGCCAAGAGAACTCATTATAAATTCATTAATAATATACTACTCACAACAGAACATAGTTCATAGTCAATATGCTGTTACATATTACATAAGATAACCTGTTTGACCAGTGAAAACCGCGATGTTACGTTGACTATCTTTGCACTCTATATATGACATCATCTATTACCTACTCTTCGTGGCTACAACTACTGCATCCACTTGGTTACAATCCAGCCACTTGGAGGACAAGCCAATAAAGTGAATTAGGCGTCCATTACAAATGAGAGTAAAATGCAGGGTAAATCGAAGAAGGGGTATTCGATATATTTTAGTTAGAGTTAATAGACAGCAGAGTATGCCTGTCTGGTTTAGAATGCATATTGGGTAATTCTCTGCAAAACATTAGTTAGAGTATGTAAACATCTGACAATTAATAATGATCCTCTATATTGCTAGTAAATGATGGGGGGAATATCATAGATTACCTTATGAATTAATTATCTATTTGCCAATCGCTATCTAAGTTGAGTTTTCATTACAAAGGTGTTGCCCGAATTTTTTACATTATATTGTAAAGTATTGTTGATTGTCTTTTGTGGGTGTCGAAAATTTTCATTGTAATTGTAGTTTCAAAAGATACTCCTTGACGTTGTTATACTTTGCACGAAAATAAATAATACCCCACATACCCATCGTAATAAACATTGTCATCGCTCTTTACTAATTCAATTTGCCACCAACGTCTATTATGTGTTACTTTAACCGCTATTCGTCCATATAATGTTGTTCGGGGTTTGGCTGTAGAGTGATCCAAAAATAGATCGGGCTAGTCATATTTGGTTTAAATGATTTACACTCGAGATCGATCCAATACTGTATAGTTTACGAACGTGTGTGTGACAAATTGGTGATTATTGAGTTAACAAAGAGGAATGGATACGAACAGGATCCCCTTCAGGATTTCTAGCCAAAATGATCATGTTGATTGAGGCAGATAAATATAATCGACAATCTGTTATTGGGATGTTTATCGAACATCAGTTGATGTTGGCGGTTTGGGGTATGCGATATGGTGCAATATTTGTTAAGGATCTGTTCATGATCGTGATGCTGGTGTTTACCGACTATGTAAAACATTAGACCTAATCGGATTTATAAATTGAGTTTATAGATTAATTAAATGTTATTGACAAATACTCAATATTTTCGACTATTTATTAATAAACCAATTAAATTCATTACAACCTAAGCCTTGTATTTATAATTAATGGGCACAGATTTCGAAATGATTGATAACTTTGATAACTGTGTTAGCAAGCAAGATTAACAAAAGCTGAACAATCTAATAATTATAAGGGGACGGTACCAACAATGACACAGTCTATTTGTTATCACTACCGAGTTATAATATAAACTTTTGTTTAGTTCTTGGCTTTTAAATGTTGTTAGACTACTGAAGTATTTGTAATCGAAAAAGATTCCACATATAAAATTATCTTTTTTTAATAGCTGTTACGTAACTAATCAACCCCTCCCTCACGCCTATCTTACAGCCGACATATTATATGTCTCAATAGGTCTTACACGCCCTGAAGCACATGTTACTTCCGCCCAGCCATTCCTTAATAAATGTTGCCCATTTGGATCTCGGAGATAAATATACTACAAGCGATTCAGCTGATCGTGATGGAAATTGTTATTATCGAAACCTAAACCTATGTAGTATGGCAAAATGCAGACAAAGAAGCAGAGAGGTGTGTGTATGTGCATCTGTGCTTCATCGTGAGTCGTCGACCGAGGCGGTTTCTGGAGTCAGATCTATGTATAAAATGTGTATAGTAGACTTTAACGGATGATAGAGTGTTAATGATTAACCGAACGAGATTAGAGTGAGCATGTGGAATAGCAATAGCATGTGAATTAGTAGTAGTGGAAAGCAAGAGACAAGATCGTAGCGCATACATGCACATATTATAAATAGAAACTAATCTTCCAAAGATACGGAAGATATACGGTAATATTACCATTATAATACATGCTAATATAATTGTGTTGTCGTATTATTTGCAAGTATGTTATTGTTATTTCTTCCTATGTCTAGTGTCTAGTAAATATTCCCCCCTCCTGTTCGATCACTTGAGAAGTTAATCGTTAATGTGATTGGTAGACATTTCGGTCGGATCCTATTCTTCTTTTGTCGACTGCCATTCGAGCTTTGCATATGATCTGACATATAACGCATACTTCTGCGTTATATCCAGGGTGATAACCAAGAGTAAATCTTAGTGTGTATTTTCAGTGTGTGATTAGTTTCACTTACATATCACAATGACATCTCACCCGACAATTTTGCATCCACGGATATGTTACTTTATTGTATTTGTATTGTACTTTATATTAGATGTATTACCATTATTTATATGCATGTACACATATAGTATTACACTTTAATTGCTATTGAATTGCCCAACTAAATCTGACGTATCCTCAAATGGCCGATGGTCTTATTGTACTCGGATTTAACAGTTATATATATATATTTATGTACAATTAGTGTAATATAAATTTAGTATACATGGAATATATAAATACATACAGTATATGCTTCCGTATTGACAGTGACTATTGTAAGATTGTTACATTCATACTACATAAAATTTATAAAAACTTTGTATATTCCCTCTTCTTCCACACTCTCTTACCAAAAAAAAATCCACGAACTACTTTTGCACTTATATAAAAACTACCTCTTTCTTCCACTACACAACACATAAAAACAAAACAAACGCAAAGATAATAACGAATGTTTAATCAGAAGAGAGTAAACTAGTAAAACCCATACCCACGCGTACGGCCCAGTATCAGACAACCCTCAAACGTATTCTCCCAAAGACACCCAGCTTCACTTCTTTACCCTATAACGAACATACTTTACTTTCCTCTTCCACATTCTTCACAAACCCCACAAATTTCATACCAACAATGTCATCTCTAGCTTGTTTCTGGGCTCTCTTATCTCTAAGAGATCTGACATTCGTCTACATATCGCCTTCACTACGCAAAACCCTTGGAGTAGAGTATGAAGCTGTGTTGGGTACATCTTTCTTCGAGTACTTCCACCCAGATGAAGAAGAATTTGCGCGTCATGATTTGTCAGAGTTTGTAAAGAAAGATTCTATATGCGGTTCGGTTACAAGGTATAGATTCAAAAGCATTTGCAGCGCGTGAACGATAATGACGAATATGAAAGTGAAGATAGAGCATAGCGATCACAATTGTTTTATATCGTAATAACCTCTCATCGCTATCAGGAATATAAAGTAGTTGTAGTAGCAACGGCAATAATAATTCCTGACGGTTTTCTTGACAGGGAGAACAAATAGGCAGTAAGACATAAATTTCTGACACAAGCTTTAACGTTTATAACGGAAACCATGCAATTATTCCGGAGATGATTAATCTTCCGTCCTGCCGTTGTGCTTGAATGACCAATTGGAAATCTGTACTTACATTAGTACTGCAGTGTTGGGGCTTAGCCCAAATTTATTGCATATTATCTATATATGTATATGTACGGCCACAGAGATACAATTCTCTCTCACTCACTCACTCTCTCTCACTCATTGTCTCCCCATTTTTCATTCACTCACAATCATAATTCTTTTATTATCTAAGATGCCAATACAACAGCGTTCTAGCCATCCGTGCCAAAGCTCAGTCTCGCATATACGCAGCTCGCAGGAATTCACCAGTTCATGCCCACCACGCCCAGCCATCATCTCCTAACACCTTACCAATCGAGAACAGATATGTCATAATGAACGTTGGAATGGATATTGTCACTCAAGATATTGTGCTTGCTCGTTTTCATGCTGATGAAGGTGAGTAGTCTCCTCGAATAACTAAATTGTAGACCGGAACGATGAGATGGTCGTTTTTTGCATCGGTTTGTTAGTGACCGTATAGTAGAACGAGCATAATTATCGATGCTCGGTTTGGATTTTCAATATTTTATTGTCACTATAACAGCGACTGTCATACCATGGTTTAATTATGATAAACTCTGTGGAAAATTTTGCTTGCACAAAATTAATCTTCTCACTTTCTTTTACATGCTATTTTCTATAGGTTCCCAAGCTGAAAATGGTATGAAGTCAAATACTTGCGGTGAATCGGAATTTACAAAAGAGGTTTGTTACTTTCCAAACTAGTCGATTTGTACTGAGTAACTCACATGGTCGGGCAAAAATGCTCGAGTATGTGCTGCGAATGGTTACCTTTTTTGGTCGTACCATCAAATTACAGTTCTCAAGTTTAGTTGACTATGTCGATATTTATACGGTCGGACGAGGGGAACTCTCAAATCTATTTATTACTCAGATACCATCGAAAGCACAATGTTCTGTTTACTAAACAACTTTTTAATATATTGCGTTGCAGGAACTGACTAGGCTAACCACGTTGCTTCGTAACCACGTGACCTCGGAGTCGATTAACATACAATCTCCCCCGGCAACACCACAATCACTTCCACCCCATCCAGTAATGAGCGTACCAAGGCGCATCTTTCAAATACTCGATACTCGCACAAGAAACCTCATATTCACTTGGCCAGATCCGCACGCATACAACAAAGAGGAATTTTCTAAACTCATCCAAGGTGTTGCAATGCAACCATCAACAACTTCCACATCTCCGGCCTGTATATGTCCCTATTCAAACAATCATGTACTCTCACTTGCATCTGGAATGTTTCTTCGGGTGGATAGCGTGATGATCCATTACGGAGAAATTATCTTCGCTTCCTTTAAAATTCTTCCCTCATCACCTGCGGTACTTTCAATAGACAATCCTAGGCAACCATCATATTCAGCCCCTTGTTCACCACTCCCAGCAGTTTATACTGGGAAACGTCCTCGAACTGAAAACTCGTCTCCGGCTTATGGTCCGCAGATGCCAGTTCCATCTTTGTCATTTCTATCGAGAGGAAGATCCCACGAACATACAGGCGACACAGAGTTGTATGAGGGTGAATCAAAACGTCGTGCAGTAGAAAGAAGACAAGGGTTAACAACGCCGCAATTCTTGTCTCCGCATGAATCTCCCCAAATGAGTCCGCATCAGATTTATGGACAATATCCATTCCCTAGTTTTCCTAATATAACGACTATAGATATTAATAGTCAGATGCAACTACAACAGCAGCAACTGCAACAGCAGCAAGAACAACTGCAACAACAACAGCAAGATCAATTGCAACAACAACAACAACAACAACAGCAGCAACAACAACAACATTGGGGCCATTCGAATCCATTCCAACAACACCCAGCATCACCACCGCCACAACCGTCATCCCTAGGACATACTCACCAACAAATTCTACCAGCATCACAATCGCCATCTCATTCCTCTCAACCGCCCCAATCTTCACGATACGTACAATCATTAGATCGTGGATATGCTCTCCAACCATTCAATAGCTCCTCATCACCTCCAGTTCGCCCTTACCAGCTTCCAAGCACGAACTCGGCTATACGTTCTAATCATCGTGTACCAGATGGAGTAAGGGAATGTGAAAGATGCCATACAACGAATAGTCCGGAATGGCGTCGTGGGCCTACTGGTCATAAGACGTAAGTGATCAATTATCTAATATGATTATATGGTTTAATTTAGATGATTAACGTAACGTTTTAATTGTTGTAATGATAGTCTCTGCAACGCATGTGGATTGCGCTACTCTCGCAAAATTGCTCGAGATAAACGTCGCGAACAAGCACACCGAGAGGAGCAGCAGCGTGAAAGAAGAGAGATGGAGAATGTTAATGTAAACGTTCTTCTACGCCACAATAATCAAACCGAACCTTATCCTTCCATGAATGTCGCCCACAATCAAATACACGCTCGTCATGTTCCACCTTCGCTTTCTCAACATTCATCCCATTCCCACCATCGTCCTTCGCTACAACACCGTCAAACTTCGGTTACGCATCATTCACCTTATCCTCCGCCCGGACCGCTCTCTCAATACAATCAACTGGTATTGCCATCCTTAGGTCCACCTGCACGCATGGGGGCAACCGAGTCTGTTGGTAACCTACCACAAAACGAAATGAATATGAATCATTCTCGGCCACCTGTATATTATCGAAGAGAGGCCTGATTCAGAGAGAAAGGATATGTGTCACATGGTTTTGGGAAGAGGATGGAACGAGGGGTTAAATTGCTTGAAATATAAATTTTATAAAGCAAACTTTCTTGCAGTTTGCGCCTCGACCTTTCTAGACTTTTGTTTATTAGTTTCATTATGATACTTATTGTTGAACTCATTGATACATATTCCCTTGAACTTTTTCACTCAAAACTTTGTATAGTCACGTTTCTGTATATTTTTCCCTTCTGTGTTTATTTTTATTTCAAACTGAAATCTATATAATTGAAAAAAGAGTTGGGGGAGTTTCTCTTGGGCAAATGTATTTTTATTTGTTAGTAGACACTATTTGTTTACTAATATAACCCAATATATAACATTTTTTTATCATTCCGTGATTACGCTGAGGTGTTCGATGGGACGTGTGAATATTAGTAGACCAATCGAGAACCTCTATCAAATATCTTTTTCTTCTTTAAAAAGTCAAATTTAAGTTGTGTCCAAGAGAATCTCTTTCATGCTCGCTAATGTACGTATTCAAAAGTATAATAAAAAACACTGTATTTTTATGTTTCTTTGTAATCAACGGCGGCTTAAGTTGTGGCGAGGTTCCATTACTTTTACTCCATTTGTAGGTCTGATTTCTCGCTAACGACCAGCAAGGGTCTGGATTGACGGAGTACAAAGAGTAGCATGTAACAGATCATTCAACCATAAGAACTAAACGTCAATCGATATCCTCTTGATAACGGAATTTACCGTTACTTTTGCCTTTTCCCGTAAGATGTTAACTTGATTTATATATCTCGTATTCACGTGTTAGGTCACGGAAGCATCATTCCACACGCTGATTTATTCTTTAAACCTTGCGACTGTTCCTTTTTTCCCTTCACAGGTAATTAACAATGTAGTGTGGACATATATAGGATCCCATTAAGAGCTCCATTGAACGTCTTGTACAACAAATCATTACAAACAAACGTCTTCCCATCAATATTCTTAATATGCATTCACACAGCTAGTACAGATCTGATTTCAACGTGATGTGCGCGCGTAATATGTAAATCTTATTGATTTCTTCTTCCTATATCTATAACAGTACAAGGAACAAAGCATCATTAATGCATCATTCTGACTAAGATTCATTTCTTTAAAGTCTCCTCCCCAGGTGACTCATTTCCCTTTTTGACATTAATCCGCACGAAAACACATTCCTTTCTTATTATTATTTTATGTCCCCAATTTGACAAATGCATTCTATCCGCAGCAGATCCACAACAGCCTAACACACAATGCGCAATTCAAGAATTATTTAGGGCTTGGGCGCACCATGAGAAAACGAGAAGCACACGAGCAGACTCTGCGGAAGTAAGAGTCTGCAAACGAATAATTTGTTGAACAGTATCAGGAATCGTGTCTCGAGATGGTACGCTCCTGGTTTTGATTCCCTGTTGAGAACAACAAATATTGATTGAGCATGATTCCCGTAAAATCGTCTCGTTTGTATTAATAGATGTAATTTTTTCCTTTCGTTTTTTTCGCAATACGTTCTTTAGGTTATTGAAAGCCTTCTTCTTTTCTTGCATTAAGTTAGGTTAAGCTCGCTTTTTGCCATTCCCAAATATTTAGAATCATATTATCGTGTGATATACAAACATAATGAAATATCCATGACGATTATGTTATACCCGTTTTGAACTAGTCGTAAAGAATGTCGATCTTTTGGCGATGTGTATAACTATAGTTGCGATGTATCATATGATCGTGCATTGAATAAGTTGATTCATTGTTTCATGTGATCGGGCAGCTGCCGATCACTTGCATCAGTTGGACTATTACGTCCTTCATTAAGATTTACTATTAGAGAAATGAGTGTTGAAAGTATGAGAGCCGTGCTCGCCAAGGAGCCTGGTGGATATTACGTTTACAATAACAAAACAATTGTTTTGTGGTTTGGCAATTGACTAATATAACAACAATAGGAGATGCATCACAACTCTACAATGGACTTGCTCCAATACCTTTGCCAAAAGATAACGAATTATTGGTTAAAGTAAGGTTTTTCTAATATATAAATGGTAGAGAATATTATCTTTATCAAGACTAATTGAATTTTTATTCCAACTCGTGACTGTAGATCAAATGCTTTGCCCTCAATCGGATGGACATTTTACAGCGCCAAGGAAGATATCCCGTTCCACCAGAAGCTTCTCAGATTCTTGGGACTGAATTGTCAGGAATCGTAGAGAAAATTGGAAGTAAAGGTGCACGATCCATTATTACATTGCCATATATTTCACTGGATGCTATACTTCATGGTCCTGTTATATTTGAGAGAATGCTGAATAATAAGGTAGACGCATTGTTGTAGTTACCAAATACAAACAGGGAGATCGTGTCTTTGGTTTAAACGACGGTGGCGCGTATGCCGAAGTAAGTCTCTACGACATCTTGACAAAATTACAATCGGCAACATCCCCGCGTTCTCAAACGATAATTCATTCTTCAGTATGGCATACTCCACGAAGATATGGCCATGATTCTTCCGGAAGAAGTGTCATTCCAACAGGGAGCTGCTATACCAGAAGCATGGTTTACAGCGTATCAAGTATTACATCTAATCGGCCAGATTCGTCAAGGTGACAGTGTACTAATACATGCAGGAGCTAGTGGAGTTGGCATTGCCGCTATTCAATTGGCAAAAGCAGCTGGAGCGTAAGTAGTGTGTGCTTTGTTGCGTTTATTGATGACTTCAGTGTGGAAGATGGTATAATCACATACATATTTGAAATGTATTACTTTGGCTCTTTTAGAAAACACATCTTTGCTACTGCTGGATCAGAGCGTAAATTGGCCTTTATTGAATCAATCGGCGTTACAAACGGCATTAATTACAAGAAAGAAAATTTTCGAGATAAGGTTATTCAGCATCACACACATGCGCGTGTCTACTCTATGTATCACATGGAGGCGGATTATTTACCGAATGTTTTTTTTACACGTCAATTCCTATAACCATAGATAATGGAACATACTGATGGCTGTGGTGTAGACTTGCTAATTGATTTTGTAGGCAAAGATTATTGGCATCCTAACATAGACAGTCTTGCTAAAGACGGTAGGATAGTTTTAGTAGGTTTTTTATCTGGTAAGAATCATACAATACGGTATCTTCACATTTATTATACGTTAGATAAAACTAATAGAGTGAACTTGTTACGTACATTAGGTCGAATTGTAGAGAATTTCGATTTATCAGCATTGCTTATGAAGAGATTACGTGTAAGAATGTCTTTTGTTATACCATGGCTTTGACAAAAAGCTTCTCAATAACTATAACATTTCTGTTACAGGTCGAGGGCACTACTCTACGCTCCCGTTCGCTTTCGTATAAGATAACTCTTCGTGACGAGTTTTACAACAAGATTTTTCCTCGGTTTATTGACGAGCATGGTACTTTCAAAGTCTTTATTGATCGAGAATACTACTGGAAGGATATCGCTGATGCCCATCGTTACATGGAAAGCAACGAAAGTATTGGCAAGATCGTTGTGAATGTAGTTGATTGAAATTTCACTTGAACGAACGGGCCCCAAATACTTATATAGCAGAACTTGGATGTATGTTTTAACAGATATCACTACTGCACAGAAATTGTTTATATAAACTGTAGTCAATAAAAAAGTGTCGGCTTTTTATTTCTGCTATATTGCATCTGCTCCCCATAGATACTCCAGAGCCATCAAGGGGTTCTCGTCTTTTACAATGTAATAGAAATCTAAGTAGAAGGATTAGACAATAAAAGAAGGCAACCAAAATACAAAGAAATCATGAATATATATTACAGTAGAAATTGGCAATGAAAGATGTAATATGAAAAGAAAAAAGGCTTTCAATTTAAATAAGATTGACTTTTATCAGTATATGAAGGAAACGCTGTTTCCGTTATGTGAAAGTTAGAGATTGAATTATTACCCCGCGATCAGTAATATAAACTAGTTTATACCGAAAGAAACTTGACTAGATTATTGAATGAAATCCGTCATTATGCAGATAGCTCCCTGATCGAGAGAAAGTTATTGATTGAAGCTCTCTCTAGTGTATATAGTCTTTGAGTTCGATTAAGTTTACAGTAACGACTAAAAGAGAGGTTCTATCATTCCCAACTCTGTTTCACGACCCGAGTAAGGAAGAAAACTAATCATCAAAAGTCAATGATATCTTATACCTCTTGTAAGCCTATTCTAATTAAGAAATAACTTACTCACTTGGCGATGAGCAATTATAAATTAAATCCAAAACTAATCTATTTGGCTTATCTCTATAGTCATAAATATTATTATGCCCACACATTTACTGATATACATCAAATGTCACAACAGTGGGCACGGCAGTCTATACCTTCCTTATCCCATTGGTCAAGTCGTTCCATTCAGTCTTGTCAACATTATATAATAACACATAAACCCTTATTCCACTCTTCAACTTTTACAGCTAACAGTACACAACGAATCAACTTGCCACATCGCCTTCTGCTGTACAGTCTCGTATGACCCAGTTACAGTAACGTCATTTGTGGACAAGCAAGTTGAGAATGTTAGAGTTGTTATTGGCGTTGGTGATGATTGTAAGTGTTGATGAAGATGGTGAAGGTGAAGGTGATGAAGAAGTGAAGAAAATAATGATGGTGATGATGAATATGAAGATGATGTTGAAATCATTGCTACTGATGAAGAAGATGAAGATGAAGAATATGATGATAATGATGTTGATGATGATTGTAATGATGATGTGGATGAAGCTGATGGTGAAACTGATATCGGTGCTATAGTTCTTGTTGATGATGTTGTTATTGACGTTGACGTGGGTGCGATATGTGTAGCAGCAGAGGCAGCTGTGTTAACTGAATCATTGATAAGTCGCATGTGAACAATGATACCCGACAATGACCGCGACCGACCCAATGTGATTGAGCCTGGTTCGTGAACGCAAACATTCGTTATGCCGTTGGATCGTTGTAGAAAGTGGTGTTTGGCTGATGTAGTATGTCGTATGTTCGTGTGAATGGACATTAGGACGTACAAAATGGGAAAAGGAAAAGGAAGGGTATGTGAAGGTAATCCATGTGATACTATCGGTAATATATACCTTGTAACATAGCATGGGATAGGGCTTCACGCGCTGCCACCAATTTATCTTGACCCCATCCTATAAAAATAGCCTTTATGAGCGACCTTGTATGATTCGAGACCTCGCCGGTTATTGAAATCATGCATATTTACCACTTTCTTGTCCACCAAACTGCCGACTCTGTGCGAGCTCTGTTAATGAGCCTGATTGAGGTTCTGTCGTACCATCCCTCCATGGCCTTTTAATAAATACATCATTGGATGCGTCGATTGACTCACTCTGGGAGGCTAGTTTTGCGTAAGCTATTGCTTAAATTTATAAATGATGTGAATTAATTAACGTAATCAACTTTGCGACAGTAATGATGCCAATCATTATAATTGTTTAACAGTTTAATCGTTAAGAATGCGGTCACCAGATGTTTGTTCTTGTTTTACACATGTTTAAATAATCTTATGCGTTCCCTCTCCAACCTTTTTCTTTGCTCGCTATTTTTCCCGTAATTTATCAATTACCGTGTGCAACTTTCAACAACAAATTCTTTCTAAACCTTGATGCTGCATCTCCCTTCAATAATCCTTGTCTGGCCTTCAGTCTTCGTACTAATAGCACTCTACTTGTTACAGCCGCAAAGTTCTCCTGTGGCAATGCCGATGTAGTAGTCTTAGGTGGAGGAGCAACCCTACTCTTGTTTTCCTCTTTGGACCATTCAACAGCGAGGTAATTCTTAATTGAAAACGGTGAAGAAAAATGTGGACTATTATGAATCTTCCTTCGTTTTGCAAACGGCGAAGTGGATGCATTACGTCTACTATGTTTTGATAGATACAATGAGGACGACGATGCACTATGATTTCGTTTTCGCCTTCTGTCCCCTCCAAATAGTGGCCACCAGCCATTTTCGTTGATTATATAACGTTGAAAAATCAATGATTCTAAATTGATGGGAGGTGTCGAGGGAAGTTCTAGTATTTGATGTGGAACCTTGGCAACCCAGTCTAACCAGCTAGTAAAGAAGCAATTGGTCTTAGGAGAACCGCCATTGTTATTACTATTACTGTCATCATTATTGTTAGCATTTGTGCTGATATTGCTGTTGCTGCTGCCTTCACCACCATCATTAATACTGCGGTTACCGTCTCTGTTACTGTTGTCTTCGTTGTGGTCGGTGTTATCGATGGTAGGGATATTATTACTGTTATTATCGTTGCCGCTGTTGAACATTATTATAAGGGCATCTGGTTTGTAAGATTTATTTGGCATAGGAGGTAATTTTTCTATAACTTCGGGAAGATGCTGTTGGCTAGGAGCCATTGAATCACTAAAAATAATTAACAGCCACAACTGTATTGTTGTGCTCAAAGTTCCTAAACGAAAAGTGAATGGCAAGTTTAATTTGCGGTTGTCCAGTATTTGTTTAACGTTGGTTGGGTAAAGTTTATTTACTCCTCTCGGTATTGGTGAGCACGTATTAACTGATCTGCCCAGTGGCGGTAAAAATGAGTCCAAGAATTAGTTACAATGATGACGAAAGCGAAAGAAAGTACGTTTAGTGCTACAGCAGTTTAGCAACCTTGCTTAGCTGTGCAATAGGATTGAATATATGTGGATGTGCTGAGGAGGCCGGTTTCTTGTTTTGTTGGTTGCTTTAAAAAAAAGAGAGTATGCCATATTTAACAAATAGGTACAGAACAAGTATAGACAAACATCGCAAATAATTACCGCAGCAGGTGTCGAGTTCGCGAAGCCTTTGCTTATGATTCCATCCCTACCAAGTAGTGTGTATATAGCGATGTGACTGACTATTGTGAAAAGTGTAGTAGCCGAAAGCGTGATCTGATGTTATAATTACGTTCTATCTGGACTTTCGTACGACCGTAAACAAATTCTCTCTGTTGATCATCTCAATTGCGTGAGTTGTCTGCAGATAACGAGCGGAGTTACCAATTTCCGAACGAATCTTCGGGCTCAGAGTGAATAAAGTCCTGCCAATAAAATGATCGCAGATCCCTTGCAGAGAGGAGAAAAAGTTAGCTTAAAGTTCTAACTTTGCGCTTTTTCATTGAGAAGGCGATCTTGTCACAATCTTGTACGAATAATAAATCGGGAAATTACGAGTTGAGACAACATAGCTTGTCAAACATAAGTAATTAAAATATTAATACGCAACTGCTAATAACGTATTCGACATATTTATCAATTGATTCTTTACTAGTTAGAGTCTGAATAAAGAATGATCGAAGTAGTCTTTCCTCACCTACTTCCAAGTACTTTATTTTGGTTTCCAAGACAGCTGATATTAATTTTATGCCATGGCGTGCGGGAGGGAGCGAAATTGATATTAAATAATCCGGTTTGTTTAAAATATTTTAATACTGAAGCATGATTTTTCTCAGCAGAAATAACTGCGTGAATTTGGAACATGGAGTTAATTAGACTTTGATATTTTTTCTCTTGATGTTTTATGGTCCAAATTTACATTCCTCAATGATTAAACTGAGTTTTTCAATAAGTCTCTAAGTGGTCAGGTAAAAGATTCATATCAAATCGCAAAGTCAAGTTTAACAAACGCAAAGAAATGAATTGTACGTACGTATTCATGAAAACAAGTTTTTTAGATAAGCTTTCGCGCCTGTCTTCAAGCATTGGTGCGACCAAAATATAAGACATTGAATTAAGATTCTTGACCAGATTTTGCAAACTCGAATATTGAAGCAGTCAAATACTTTTTTCTTAGAATTTAATGCTCGGAGTTTATCGTTACCGTCATCTCGAGAGCGTCTCAATAATTGTTTAAATTCATCAGTTACTTTATTTCCAGTCTGAAAAAAGATGTTTTTTAAGCTTAATATTTAAAGTTTTTTTTTGAACGGAATAGTAATTTTTTCTTAATAATTTTGTTTAACCTTGAGAAACTGTTTGTTGCAAGGTTTACGTTTTCGGGAGCAATTGAATGTCAAGAGTAACTTCTTTCCCAAGACTTGTTTTTACAAAGACGTTGAATTTTATATTAAAAAAATCAATTTAGAGTCACAAAACATTTTACCGGTTTATTATTAATTGAAATGGCCGAAGGGTAATTAGTATTATTATCTGATATATTGTTGATAGAATAGAAGCCTTTATTAATTAATTTTTTTTTTCATAGGATCTTTATTGGCAGCTACCGGAAAATACGTACTGATAATATCAGGTTAGTTTATTGTGAAATGATTTTATAATGAGATTTCCCGACCAGTTTACACTTTTTCTCAAAATACTTTTAATTACAACTATATTTACTCCTAAAGTACAGTCGAACCTCGTTATACCGAAGTGTCGGGGGAGGCATCCATGATTCGGTATAGTGAGGTCTATATAACGAAGTTAGGCTTAAGGTCAAGCAATATTCGGTATAATGAGACTTATGTGAATAATATCTTTAAAAAACAATAGATACGAAATACGGCTGATCAAAAATATTGGCACAGCTAAAATCATACCTTAATGCTGTAATATACAGATATAACTACATGTATCCAAAAATCGGATGACCAAAAATCATATGATCCTCATCTGCTACAACAAATCACTATTCTGTAATTTTTATCACGTGTATTTACTTTTTGTAAAGTCAAAACAATGTGAGATATATCACTTTCTTGCAAATGTCTAATATTTAATATTATCACATAGTAATAGTGGAGTCATAACCAAAGAGATGTCATCATGGAGAACCAAGTGTGGAAGTTAAGGGTTGACAATTTCTTCATTATTTCAATTTCAGCATGAAGGTATTTCTGGAATTTATCTGGGTGTTTCAAT